CTTGCAAAGCAAAGTGTAAACCAATTCAGCAATTTATTCCGAGGATGAGCCCAGACGGCTTTCTTTGAACAATCAGCCCAAGCGGATCCCGTCCACTGGTTTGGAAGACAAAACGTTTTTAGATGAGCGGGGCGTCTGCTGCCTGCTTGTCTGAAAAGTTCATTAACATTCTGTTCGAGTCTCAGCTGGGAATGCAGACAGATTTTCCTATCCACCAAGTGGCAGATTGCAGTGTAACTTTGCCCACGCCCCTCATACAGTACTACTGTCCATACTAACACGACTGACTCACTTACATGTGGGAACTATAATTACCTCAGTTCATAGTCACTTAAATTACTTAGCCCATTTGAAATGCTAACAAAAACAGCCCCCCCCCCCCCCCACCAACACAAAATATCATCTCCGATAAATAGGGTAAGGGTTAGTGTTAGGGTTAGGTGTTAGGGTTCGGGGTTAGGGGTTAGGAGTTAGGAGTTAGGGTTAAGGTTGGGGTTGGGGTTAGGGGGTTTGGGTTAGGGTTATGGTTAGGGGTTGGGGTTTGGGGTTAGGATTAGTGGTTAGGGTTTGGGTTAGGGTTAGAGGTAAGGGTTAGTTAGGGAGCAGTGTTTCTGATTCCTATTTGGATTAGTGCTCATTTTAGGTTTATATGCCACATAACACACCATTATCTATTACATATTTATAATTAAATTACTGAGGTTTTGCAGTAGGTTGCTACTGCCAAAACAAACCACACTAGGTTTGTCTGTAACATTGTACTTTTCTATACATTACACAAAAAATATATATATATACAGTGTATATATTACTTTGATACACATACAGTATCTGGCACGCATTTTTGCCATCACAACAATGTGGAAGACCTCACAGTTTGTTTTGAAGTCAAAGCCAGCATCTGTAACAAGCCCCACTAGGTTTGTTTGTCACATCCCACCTCAGTCTATCCATTTACTGTATGTACACATTGCGTACAAGGTAAAAATATTTCATCAACCATTATGTGTTTACTTATTAGACCCGTGCATGTACAATGACAGAGAATCCAATTAAAACCCCACATCATTACCTGTGATTTTAGCTCATGATTTCACTCGGGTCATTTCAGCGCTAATTTGCTGACTTTAATTTCTTATCAGGTAGAGTTTGAGGATGTCATCGCAGAGCCAGACGGGACACACAGCCTGGACGGCGTCTGGAAGCTCAGCTACACCACCTTCACCGTGTCCAAGTACTGGTGCTACCGCATTCTGTCGGCCATCTTCGGCATCCCCGTGGCTCTGCTCTGGGGCTTCCTGTTCGCCTTGATCTCCTTCTGCCACATCTGGGCTGTGATGCCCTGCATCAAGAGCTGCCTGATCGAGTCGCAATGCGTCAGCCGCATTTATTTGCTGTGCATTCAGACCTTCTGCGATCCTTTGTTTGAAGCCGTGGGCAAGGTCTTCGGCAGCGTGCGCGTGGCACTGCGCAAGGAAGTCTAAAAAAACTCACCCGACACGCCTGAGGAAAATGCGATCAGACGAGGCCTGCTCTCTTTTTCTACACTACCCTGGCGCGGAACCATCCTACTATTCTGTTCAGCAACCTCTCCTCCTGGAGAGGTCTGTTTTCGAGAGATTTTACTTGGATTTTGTACAAAAAAAAAAAAAAAGTAGCATTAATTAGTAGAACATTTCTATATACCGTTTTGTTCCCTACCCTCTTATTCTAAGGGGGTCTGTCTTCAAAAGATTTCCGTAGAATTTTTGTACAAAAGAAGTGATGTAGAAATTTGATAAAGTGGCATCTTAGGAGATTTTTGAAAGATTTTGCCCATAAAATTAGTTACTAGCAGAAAATTGACATATTTGTACCACTTTGGCACCCTACCTTGCCCTCCTGTTATCATGAGATTTTTAGCAGGATTTTGTGGAAAAAAAAAGTACAATTATTAGCAGAAAAATAAAATATTTGTTGTGATTGTTTTTGAGTGAATGTTGTTAAAAAAAGAATACAATACGAAATACACATTACAATGACAAAACGCTTTTGAGTTAAGAGCAACCTTTTGTGGAATGCGTTGTTCTCATTTCAAAGTGCATCTCTGCAGGCCGGTGACAGACACAGACACACACACACACACACACACACACACACACACACACACACACACACACACACACACACACACACACAGGCATAAAACAATGCATGACTTTTCAGAGCAGGTTTCGTTCACAATGGCTGCCAATGACATTTTTGACTAAAAGTATTGTCTCTCTGGCTTCTCTGTTTTTTCTTTTCTTTTTTTTACAACACTTATGCGTCTATAGGAGGCTGAAAACGCAAAACTCACTTTTGTTTGACTGCTTTTTTTTAACTGGATGTAAAGCTTTGTGCCCAGTGTGCTTTCGCCGCAGAAGCCCAGCGACAGCTGCAGGAGGAGGCATGCTTCTGTGGCATCTCTGCCATCCTGGGAGGCCTTTTCCCTTTTGATGGGGGGGGGGGGTCGCACGGGTGAGGGGGCTCCTCCATCTCCCTTCAAGACATCAATACTGTAATTCACAGGAGATGGACTGAACCGCTCATCATTGCTGCCGCGCCCGCTGTCGACAAGCGTGCATGCAAGCGTGACACGTGTTCGCCTCTCAGTTAGTCTGCTTCCCCGGATCCAAAATTAAAAAGTTAAATTCCTCTACAATGACAATTTGTTGACTTGGCACTTGTTGAAACCAATCATGATCCCAAACGCACATCCAAAAGCAATGAAAACAAATGTTTCGTCGTATCTCTTGAGAGCCAATGTGTCAAATTCACCACGTGTGTAATTATTAAACACAAACAACATGAAAATATGAGTCCGTTGTCTTCACCCCCTCCCCCCCCCCATCCCCCACCCTTAAAACCAGACAACATTGTTAATCACTGCAACCCACAAGAGGCTGCTGTTGGGCACTTTTTGCATTTTTGAAGGACTAGAGCAGTGGCCGGAACTTTATTGAGCCAAGGTACATTAACTACTCACGTCGACCGGTTAGCGTGTCGGCCTCAGTGCAGAGGTGTGGAGCATTTTCAGTGATTGTGACTTACATTTGTATCAGAGGTGATTGCTCGAAGACTGCAAGGGAAGCACAGCTTCGCCTAAAATGTCAAAAAGTAAGTGATCAAATATGTGTGTGTACTTACAATTGTGTGGACATATCATTGACTAAATATGCGCTACAACGCGCTCAACTTTTGCTCCGAATCAGCTTCTTATTACTAGTTACGACGCGACTCTCTTCTGTCTTCTCATTCATTCCGCAGCTTCACTAACGCTGGGCGTCTTGAGAGTTCAGTGTCGGTTGTCCCAATGCATTGAAACGAGACGAGTCATTGGATAAATGCTGGTTTTGTCCCGCCCACCGGACACTGATAGTCTCTGGGAGTCTATGGACAGTGGGCGTTTATAGGCTGGCCAGGAAGCTCAGCTTTTCTGCATGATGATTGGATGATCAGTCTGAAGCTGAATTTCGTTTTGATTGACAGCAAAATGAGCCAATCACCGATCTTATGGTGAAGGCAACCTTTTTGAAAAGGAACGGAGAGTAGAATTTACGTATAAATAAAAGGACACATTTTATGATGTAGGCCGAAATTGAGCTTCCCCTCCTTGACAGACCAGCATCCGCCACTGATTTGTATGAATGCAAAGTACCTACAATTGACCTCCTCTCTCTCCCGGGACAAAATGAAATGTTGATTCAAGTCAACTGTTTTTTTTCAGACAACAATGTAGCTTTGCGAGACATGAGTTGACCACGAGTCATGTGTGGACTACACAGGCAAAGATTTATGATGATTGTTTTCCATAGTATATAATGCATACCCGTTGGTTCAATATTTAATGAGACCATTAAGAGAAGTACCCTTTACGGAACCTTGGGCAGTACTTTGTTTCTTTTCATTTGTATCGTTCCTGCTGAAGGGTGGCAATAATCAATAAACTGTGATTAAGAATGAATGCGCAGAGGAGGAGATTATTTCACGTAATATATTCAGAAGGCGTAAGCGACGTGCTACGCAGACGCCTCAGACATGCATCGGAATACACTGCCATTGAAAATGCTGGGTAAAAAGCAACCCAAATTTGGTGAAATAGATAACCCAGTGCTGGGCCCAAACGCCAATGCTGGGTTATTCATACCGAGTGCATTAGGTTAAAGATTTGACCCATTTTGATCCAACCCGATGTAAAAACTATATACATACATAATGATGAGTTCAAACGACCAAGAAATGGCTTACAAGTTTATCAGTCTAGCGGTGGATCAAAATAAAACTCGTTTTATTACCAACATTTTCTGAGAATAAATTTTCTGGATGGATGGATAGTTTGATCGAAATTGTTTTATTTTAGTCCAATTCTTGCTCAAAATGATGGGAATGGAATTGCGTGACGTCATTGGAGAAGCACCCCTCAGGCTGGCACAACTTGGTCAAGACTTTTCGACACAGCTCAGCGGAACACGCTTACATGAGGTACATAGTTTTTACATGCGTTCCTCTTTTTTTTTTTTTTTTTTTTTTTGCACTTCATACTTTTGATCAGAGGGTTTTTTTTTAAATGACAATTTTCATATCTCACAGTACAGTGTATAAATATTTGACACTGATGCAATCGCCCACAGATGCAACAAAGTGAACAACGTGGCACACGCGTGTAACGCACAAACCCTACTGACACACACAAGTTTTATACTCTCAGCTGCAGTTCCCTTTACATTGGCCGTCCACTAAGCATGTACAGTTTATCGATGTGCACAATATTAAATTCATATAAAATGTAAGCAGTTATCGTGGGCGTAGAATTCCACGGTATCACACTGAGAGGTCAGCAAAATATTGGAAAGGCCTACAGTTGCACTCAAAATGATTCAACCCCTGTTGCAATATCTCTTTGCAATGCTTTGAAACTTGTCGTAAATTACGTAGCAACGAAGGGACAACTAAAAGGGTCATTTAAATTGAACACATTTTGCAGATTAATTTACGGGGAAGGCAGGTAGGATCATTTTTGGATTGAAAATGATCTCCAATGGTTTGATCTCTGACAGTGTCCATCAAAAGTTAACATTAAAAAAATCTGTGCAAGATTCATTTACGGTTGCCGTTGCGTTGATTTTGCGAGTGTGCCCAATATTGTCGCTGGTATGTGTGTATGTACTGTACATCTAAAAGAACAAAACATAAAAATAAGCAAACAAAGGTTGATTGCTTGGCTTATTCCATAATTATCCTGAAAACATTCATTGCATTCAAATATTCTGTTCATCCATTAGTCAGACTATATTTACACCATAAATCGCTGTTCTGTAAATACTTTGTAAAATTATGAATATTTCTTTTTTATGAACGTCCTTCTGGTTCAAGAAAGAGTCTCGTTGTGTAAAATGGCGGCCTCAGCGCTCACGTGCTGGACGTCTGCGTGATGCTCCTCTGGCTGCCGGTGCTCTTAATGACCAAGGTGGACGAGATGCTCTTGTGACTGGAGTCCAAGTCGCGCTCGCAGCGGCACCTCGACGAATTGAGGTAGCGTCCGGGGCAGCACAGGAAATTCTGCCGCAGGTCGTGGAAGAGGTGGCCCGCGAAACACATGTAGATCCACGGGTTGCAACAACTGTTGAGGCTGGCCAGCAACATGGAGATGATGAAGGGCATAGCTGCAAGAAAGGTCAGGACAGGAACCGTCAGGTAGAGGGAAAATAAAAACAGACTGACTGACAGAGTGAATGACCAACACCAGACTGACAGACTGCGCTGATACATAAAACATGCTGCGAGGTTAAATAAATTGTCACAGCATCAATATTCATTCGTATTGCCTACCCATAAATAACTGAGTGGAAACTAAACGAAAGTGCAGTGGGGGAGAAAAAAAAAAGAAAGACATTTAAAGGAGAAGTCAATTCCGAAACCTTTCCGATATGTTTTATGCGCCCACACTCCAGTATTCCAAACACAGCATTCTGACTAAAATTGCATTTATGGAATATGAATTAAGCAGCACAATTATCTGAAGGCTTTAAAGTTCAGCCTGACTGATTATGCTATAGTGTGCAGTGTTAAGAGGGATTCTATTTTTTCCACCCCTCAGATCTGCTCGGAACACATCAGGGGTGAGTACCTGACATGTTATGAGTACATGACGTGTTTCATGAGATCTGCCATTTACAAAAGAGTAGAAATCCATCAATAATTGCATAAAAGTCTACACAGCTCTAATAATAACTACGATCTTGAATTAGACAAAGTCAGAAGAAGAAAGCAACCCCCAGGCCCCACACACACACACACACAAAAAAAAATCAACGACAGCTAATCCATGGCACTAAAACATAAAAAAGATGAAATCATACATCACAGCAACTGCTCGTACGTGGCGGCATGCGGGATGACATTTACGACACATCAACTCTGTCCCCCTTGTGGCATTTTACACAAGTGTTCACGATCTCCGTAACTGTCTCATCAAATGTGGGACTTGACTGCTCATGACTTTGGGAACCTGCTTTGTGTACTGTTTAGCCCCCTGAGCTGGGTAGAAACGTGCGTTGTTGTGAAAAGGTGACTTACGGCATACAGTGGTATCTTAAATTATGAGTGTCTCGATTTTTTTTTTACAGTTACAAGCCGTGACGTTGATAGTTGACACGAGTGAGCTGCAGGCAATCCACCGCTAGGTGGCGACAGTGCACTTAACAAAGTCTGAAAGTACGGAGTGTATTTGTTTATCACTCCTTGTTGAAGTATGCTGATAAACTAAAAATGAAACGAACAATTAAAAAAAAAAACACATCACTTTGTCTTATGAAAGCCCACTAGCTCAATGCTAACGCAGAATCAGAAAAGGGGTAGACAATGCTGATAAAAAACATGATGTGATCAAGATATACGGTGACAAACCTTAAACACCTGACATTTGAACACAAACGGTGCAGCAGCACATCCAGACACAGTGTATGAAAAGATTACTGGCATATATTTTTTTATAGTTTGTGAAAAATGAGTAATACTACTGCAGTTTAGTCTTCTTCAAGTTTCACGAACAAATCTATGCGCATTTTATGCAACTATATTTTCACCGTATGTGTGTTTTGTACTGCACCCTGGTGCCCAAGGGGCATAAACCAGAAGGAAAAATACTTTCTCCGCTGAAGTAAAGAAATAAATCATGGTACCACTTTTTAATTCTTTACATTCCCATGTCAGTGGTTCCCAAATATTAATGAATTTTTCATTAAACTCATAAGTCCACCTACAAATAAGTTAAAACGGAGCATTTTATTTTTATATCTTAACATATGCTGTGTTTAACTTGTATGACAATTAATAATGTTCTCTTCAAATTGTTTGGAAGGTTAATAAAGTTTAAATGATGGTGACATAGAACTGATTGTGGCTGCTCACGTAACGTCCTTTAGAAATCAAACGGCATCCCCGGACAAGTTGCTTTCAAACAAATAATTACAAAGTAATACAGAGCGCTGATTCACAGTCCACTTTAAACGTATTGTGGACAAAAATCCCTCATAATCTTTTTGTGGTAATTCTGTCTGACTTCTTGCTCCTATCAGCTCTGTGTACCAGCGTTTGTCATTTATCCACCTTCTCATTAGCCCGTTTGCATTTTTCTGAAATTCCGAAACAGTGAAAATGTGCTCTGTCGTCTCAGGAGGGTGATGAACGTTTTTCTTTTGTTTGATTCAGTTTGATGACATTCTGAATGATTTTTATTGTCTCTGCTATTTTTTTTTCTATGTACAAATGGAACTGGTGATCCAAAATGTTTCGACATCATCTCATTTGAATAATTACGCTTGTTAAATGATCTCGCAGCTTGTGAACGATTGCAAGGCAAATGAAGATGCATCCCTCATGGGGGGGGGGGGGCGAGTCTCATCTATTGGAAAGTCAATGATGATAGCGTCTCCCCCCTCCACCAAAAAGGAGGTTGCTTCTAAATGTTTTACCCATTCTCATTTGCTGCTTTTTGCGAAATCCTCGTGACGTTTAAAAGAAAGAAAGGGGAAAGAAGAAGGGAATAAAAAGAACATTTTTTTTCGACCTTTAGCAGGTTCGAAACTCCTTGGGCTTCATGGCCATTAAGTGTCGAATACAAATCAATAGCACAGCATGGGTGAGTCAGCGGGTTCAGTGTAGGGGATTTTTTTTTTTTTTTTTCAGTGGCCAATATGTTGGGAGATTGCCAGTCAGAGCCAGTCGGCATTCGCCTTCCAGCACCTTTCTGTCACCATCAAAGTGAGCCACGCAGGCTAAATGTGAAATCACAGGTGCCAGCTAATGGGGCATTTTTGCGGTCACAATTACTGCCTGCTGATCATTTTTGCAAATTCGTAACGCTGATGTGTTTCTGCGTTGAAGCCGAGCCAAAGAATAAATGAGACGCTGCACCAGTATGGATGAAACATGAGGGTGAGGGCCCATTTTCACACTCCATTTCAGCACTTAACAATTGAACCGGCTGAAAGAGTCGATTGCAAAGTCAAGTGTCACTTAATGAAAAATGACGAAAAAAAAAAGATCATGAAGTGCACCGTGTTACTTGCCACCTGGATGCAATTCTAATGCCAAATAAAAAGTATCCGGGCACCGGGCCATTACACCGACAGGAGGTGAACTATGAAGAAAATATGGAATTGTTTCCCCTTCACAGCTATGGCAGCAGATGTTTGTGTCCCCTCTCGATTATACTTCATACCAAATATGTGCGTCTCAGCTTTCCTCGACACAATACGGTTCCTGTAGAATTGTCTAAAAATTATATATTCGGATGTTCATTCAATATGGATTTATTGATGCCGTTTTAAAAATGGCGATTTAATGATGCCCAGCGACACAGTGGTCGACTGGCCAGCACGTCCGCCTCACAGTGCAAAGGTGCAGGGTTCGATTCTGGCTCTGGCCTTCCTATGTGGAGTTTGTATCTTCTCCCTGTGCCTGCGTGGGTTTTCTCCGGGTACGCCCGTTTCCTCCCACATTCTAAAAACTTGCACGGCAGGCTGATTGAACACTCTAAATTGTCTCAAGGTGTGAGTGTGAGGGCGGATGGATGTTTGTCTATGTTGTTTGTCTATGTGTCCCCCGCCTACTGCCCCAAGACAGCTGGGATAGGCTCCAGTATGTCCCTAGTGAGGAGAAGCGGATTATAAAATGGATGGATGGATGGATTCAAGGTTATGGTATAGATTTATGTGTCATAAATGAGACTGGTGTTACTTGTGTACATCTGCTGTAAATGTTTAGAGTACATAAAGGTAAAAACAATCAGCAAACATTGGTCATTTGGCTGATTATTTTGTCCAATTTTTTTCAGGGTCTGATTTAATTGGAACCCTACCATCCGATTACCGATTGCCAAATTGATTGATTAATTGGTGCATCTCATTACTCAATAATTTCAATCATCTCAAAAATCTGAATATCTGTTTCTATCATTTATGGCAGTGATTCCTAAAGTCCCAGCCTTGTTTTTGATGAACACTTAACACGACTACGCTTCTGTATTTTGTTGCGGTCCTTGGAGGGCCTCCCAAATCCAAGTTCAACCAGCATTACAAAATGCAAAGTGGTCATACTTGGAGGTCTCACAAGCAAATGTGGGAAGAACCATTTAATTTGAAAAGCTGCTGTTTGTATGCTAAATAATGCCATCAAGATTGGAACATTTAGGTCCATCTCAATAAATTAATGTAGAATACTATGCGGAAAAGAATCAGTTCAGTAGTTTAGTTCACAAAGCAAATGTCATATATTGAGTTGAAAGATGTCACTTTTGGGGGGTAAGATTCGAATTAGGAAATCCCAAATTCACCATCGCAAGAAATATGGATGTTACAAAGGAAACAATTGAACAATATGAACACAGAAAGGATGTAGAAATGAAATAAATTAACTTCTGCGATTTTCTCATGGATCAAGATGCACCTGAATAGAGGATCTTGTATTTGTTGTTCGGAGCTGTCTGCTGTCTGTCTGAGTTGACATTAGTGTCAGTCTAATGGATAGTGATCTACACTCAGGCAGCAGGCACTCTGGCCCATCTATGGTACGCAAACATCGGCACGTGGATCAGACGATTACGGCCGTTCTGAGGGTTATTCACGTGGACAACGGTCATCAGCCTCCTTCCTGACAGGTGCAGACAGGAGAATAAAAAACAAACAAAAAAAAAGATTGTCCTGTTTGCCAAGTTCGTCGTCTAAACTGAACTACACCACGCTGAAGTGGCCGTTTCGGTCCAAAGCAAACAATGTTGCTCGAGAGTCAAGGATAGCGTTCACACAGTCACTTGGAGCCTTTCACAAAGGAGGGACACACACACAAAAAAAGAGAAGAATAATTTTCTCCTTCAAAGTTTGTTTTCTGTCCACTTGCCATGATAATTTGTGACCTTTTTGTTTTGGTCAATCTAAAGATTATTCAAGTCCTTTTTTTTTGGACAGTATTTCTGACATGGCTTTCGGAAATACCACGTTCAGGAAGACAATTATCCCCCCTATCCCCCCCACCCCCTTTTTTTTGTGGTCGGATAAAACAAACATCAAGGCGACACACACAATCGAACATGCTTTGTTGCTTAGCCACCCACAGGAGGGGCAAATTATTTCGAACAGCTCTCAGTGTGATGCAATTCAGTTGTACACCACAACTGCAAAACCACAACAATAACCATAGAGGGTGTCCTAAAAGTCATTATATGCTTCCTAGCCCAACCTTTCAAATGATGATTGCCTCACATCTGTATGATAATTGAAACAAAATTAATAAAAAAAAAGGAAGTGTATACTGTAGTCACTTTTGGTATACTTGAAATTTCAAATGATTACTTCTCAAAACTCAGCATTACCTATTATATGCAAAGGGATCTCATTACATTTTCAACCGAATGCAATGCTCATTTCCAAATAACAGCCCTGTGTAAAGCTAGCATATTATGACACCGCTCGCTTGTAGATTCAATACAAGGGGGCCATCTTCCCGATGTGCAACTCAGAAGACGACAGTTGTCTGTGGCAGTATGGGTGTGGCCCTTGTCCAACCAACCGACGACCACGGGAACTGTTACAGTGCTTGTCATGCTTTGCAGCTTATTGCTGTTAAATGTCAACGAGACGCGCCAATGTGGCCCCAGGGGGCACACATAAAGCTTGTGGCCGTGCGGTCGTGCACACTAATTTGATTAATGATTAGCCGTCTGACACTGCGCAGCGAGATGAGCGACACAAGGGACACGTGGGAAAAGGGCGCCTTGCGCATTCTGAAAGAAACACTCTCTGCATTTTGGCCAACAAAACAAATGGATTAAAACGCGTGCATGGACAGCCAGAGAGAGGGCGCGATAAAATTCATTCCAGCCTGCCTTTGTGGAGCTCGCTTTGTGCACTGGGACACAGTTTACCATTGAAGAGCTTTTGCAATGTATCTTATCATATCGTGCAGGTGTTCCTGATGAATTAGCAAATGATTCTTTTTACTAACCGTTATTGAACCGACGAAATAGAAAAATCTTACAGCACAGCACCAAACAAAAATGTCACTACCAATATATATATATATATATATATATATATATCCACTTTTTTTTTCCAAAATCTGGGCTCCTGGTCACCATCTAATATCCCACTACAAATGATTAACTTCAAAATTAGTAAGAAGTCAATCTTTCTTTGCTTGCCTGTCACTGCGAATGTGTTTGTGGGTGTGGATTTTACCAAACTGCGATGTCACAGTCAGACACAAATTGATTGTACCTTATTCCATCAAGTAGAGGAGTAAGCATTAGGGTCACACGTGAGCTGGTGTCTGTCCCCGCAGACCGTTTGGTGAGAGGCTGATTACACCCTGAATTGGTCTCCAGCCAATAAAAGGGTACATATAGACAAACATTTACACTCAGCTGCCTGGTAAATTATCTAATTTGACTTAATTGATTTATTGATGACAAATATGTCTGTACATCTAGCTATTTCAGTGACGTAAATGACATGCTGAACAATGACATGCTCCTCCACTAGATGGCAGACGTTACAATTCACCTGTGTATCCACCTGTTGCCTTTCATTCCAAACAATAGCTTTGTGCTCACCTCGAAAACGTAAGTACATTTGTGAGTAATATAAAACAAAAATCATTATTTTAGTATACAGTATGCGACTTCCCGTTTACATTTGTTTTGTTTGGGGGTGTGCTCACGCGAGATTTGTTTCGTCACCCAGACCAAGATTACGCGAAGTAAATGATCTCAAATTCAAACATTTTGCTTGGTGATATTGTGTCATGATTTTTTCCCAATGTAAAAAATACGCCTTGGGTCAAATGAATGTTGAGGAAGACTGCGCGATGGTTTTTACGCGCAGATTGAAGCGAAAGGTCGAGAAATGATTTTGCACTCACCCTCGCGTGGGGCGGCATGGTCCCACGCGGACCACATCTGTACGGAGAAGAAGGGAGTCCAGCACACGATGTACGCCAGCACGATGACAAAAGTCATCTTGACGGTGGTCATCTTGGCCTTGGAGATGAGTTTGACACTGCTCACCCGCGCCAACGCGCCGCCTCCTTTGCCGACCTTGGGCGTCAGGCTCATGCACTGCTCCCGTCTGGTCTTCAGTTTAAAGTTCTGCCATATTTTGAAGCTGATCAGACCGTAGCACACGCTCAGGATCCCCACCGGGATAATGTAGATGGTCAGGCTGATCCACGTGATGTACGCCTTGGCACCCCACGGCATGACGAAGTCGCCCCAGCAGTCGTACACTCCGGAGCCGGCCGAGCCCACCTCCCGAAGGGAGAAGATGAACATTTGAGGAATGCTGAGGAGCATGCTGAGGCTCCAGGAGAACACCACGTAGAAGCGATCCTTCCGCCTGTGCAGGGAGCGCAGAGGTTGGCAGATCGCCAGGCACCTGTCCACGGACATGAGCACCAGCATGTAAGTGGAGGCGAACATGCCCACCACCTGAAGGTATTTGACCAGCCTGCAAAGTAGATCCGGCCCGTAGAAACGGAAGGTGATGTCCCAGATGAGCTGAGGCAGGACCTGGAAGACAGCCACCACCAGGTCGGCGATGCTCAGGTGCTTCATGAAGTAGTACATGCGCGACTGGCTGTGCTTGGCGCTGTGGGTGGCCGCCAGGACGCACAAGTTGCCGGTGAGCGCCAGGAAGAGAATCAGGGCGAGGACGGTCACCTCCACCTTGGCCACCTCCTCGTTCCTCTTCAGGGGGTTCGTGTGGTTCGACTCGGAGGACCACGAGTCATTTACCGGCCACAAGTCACTTTGGTTCAAAAAGCTCTCCATTGGCGCAGTCCGTGCGTCACGCCAAAGATCCTCCAAACATACTACGGTAGTCAATTAGTGCGATTTCGATGCATTGGTCCCAAAATCGGCGTCCAAATCAGATTCCCGACAACAGTAAGACAAAACATCTACCACACACACAAAATAACAAGAATAATAATAATGATAATAATAAAAACAATAACTCACTTATTGGTGTAAAAACACCAAAACCAAATTCTCAGCGTCATTATCAAACAAAATTCAAGAGGGAGAGTGGGGAAAAGTGAGGATAAAAGAAAGTACCGCAAAACAGAGGAGCTCCGGCATCCTACCCGCAAGGACTGGCAATGGGCAGCACAAGAGCAGCACCACAGCATATGTATGCTGTTGTTTTCCAGTCAACGACACGTCCCACTAAACAGACTGCTCCGTCACAGCCACTAGGGGGCGCCGCGCACCAGTCGCACATTTGTGCGCGCTCACAATGTTTTGACAGGTACGCCCACGCACGGAAAACAACATACGTGTATAAATCATGCTGTCCTGAAGAATTCAACTTTCTGTGGAGGTACCTGAGGATATTCATGAACGGCAGTACAGTATTGTAGAGCTGAAAAAAAGTGAGGGCTAATTCTCAACGCTTGACCACAGAAGGCTTTTCAAAAAGTGCACAGAAGAATATTGATTAAATGAAAGAAGGTCGAGATAATTTAAGAATGTGCATTATTTACAAGCAGTGTCGGACTAATTAGTAAGCAACTTCCAGCGTATGACTCCTTTATAGGAGAAATAGAACTGTCCAAAAGAAGTCTTAAACATTGTGAGGTTACGGTCCCTCCTGACAGAGATTTGAGGTCGTCTTTCTGAGTTTTGAGGTCTGGTGATCAAAGTTGAGATTAAGCGATGACTGAATTATTCAGGCATTTTAAATACGTTTGCATGTCTTTGAATTTACAGTTTTCAGAAGTGAAACGTTGACAAATCTAGAGCGGTGCCATCTATCTGACTGGTGTCTTGTCCATTACCTTGATTGTCTGTTTGTCAAGTGAGATGAATTTCGTTTTGGTAGCTGACGTGTGGTGGTGGTGCAGTATGATAGATATGAGAAAATCATTGCCTGCGTCGATATAAAAGCGGCATGATGAGACAAATGTCTCCTGGAGAAAAACGGCATCATTACAGGCTTGATTTGATCTTTTTACATAAATAATTATTTTTAAATATTGTTCAGAATCATACCTAAATACATAGCTTCATTTACTTATATTATTTGATTGTTATGCACCTTAAATGTGCTGTAGGACAACAGTTTTTTTTTTTAATTGCAAAGCACATGGAACAGTTTTGTTGATGGTGTTCGGTGAGTCTTTTCCAGTTAGTTGTTGTTTGCAATGGCTTGCATGAGTTGCTGTTCAGCCAGTCTTGGTGTTTACCAAATGCGTATTGTTGGCACTTAACACCTTGACAACAATTTGTCGTTTGTATATTATGGGAACAAACCGTGGACTTCAAATTGATCCTTGTGGCACCCCAAGTTAGAACAGAAATTGGATTTACTTTATGAAACAAGTGATTAGATCTTTTTTTGGTGTCAAATACAACATCCCCATGTAATTTGAAAACTCACTCTTGATAAGGGTCACATTGCACACAACCTCTGTCCAATCATTTTCTATTGTGCTTGTTCTAATTAGGCTCATGGGTGTGTTGGAGTCCATCCCAGCTGACATTTGCCAGTCAATTGCAGGGCACATATAGACAAACAACAATGGAAACACTCATCCACGCATGAGGACCATGTAGAGGCTTCAATTAAATCAACATGCATGAGCACTCAGCAAAAACTGACACAAGGACACGTGACAACATGCAAATGCCACACAGGAAGGCCGTTGATGACTAAAAAACAGATGGAAGAATGCATCGCCAGAGTCAACCACCACCTCTCCCTGGAAATCCACTCCTTTGTGGCTTTGAGTCTGGAAAACAGTGGATTGACTGCAAATTCAGAGCATTAGTGTGAAGAGTGATGATGATTTAGTGCCACCTGAAAAGCGAAAGGGCAAGGGAAAAAGACAAATCATGATTGATTGTATCTAATCCAATGACGAAGGAATTTGTGAGGAAAATATATACTGACTTCCTGAACTACATTCTTCTGGTCAGCCACAGGGAATAAGCCAGGAAACAGCTACAATCCAGTCATCCAGAGACACTGTCCGTATTTGCGAAGGATGAAGTGAAGTAAAAAGTAGTTAGCAAATTCTTGGAATGAATACAAAAAACAGCAAGAGCTTGACTGACAAGTGCCCCAATTTATGAGCTTTTCTAGGTCTGAGCTGTCATAGATTTTCGGGTATTTTTGCCTTTACTTACAAGTGATTACTTGAATGTGCTTCAGATATTCCATCATTCAATTGAAGTGACAAAAAATAGTAATTATAGTAAAATCTACAAACTAATGTTTAGGTTCACAAACTACTCCACACTTAACACTAAATTATACTTTCTCTCACACAATGTAAACTTCATTTGGTACACACGTCACCCATTTATTTCAGGTATTTTTTTCTGTAAATTAGCTCTCGGCATGGCTCCCAAGAAAATGAAAAGTGCGAGTAATTGCGCTATTAAGAAGCTTAAGTTTTTGGGACTTTGGCAAAAGAAAAAAAGACAGGCTGCCTGCTCCAGCAGCTGCAGTGCAAGGTGGGGAGAGAAAGAGAGAGGGGAGCAAGTGATAAGGAGAGATAGAAGGCACTCATACGATTTAAAGGCGCAACACACGAATGCACAACCTGGTGTGTTTGACTTTTGGCTTAATGACATGACTAAGCCATTTTCTAGTTGTTGATTAAAAACCTGTCACAAAAAATGGTGGTGTTTCTTAAGTAGTTGGGACTGAGCCTGAATGATTAATCAAATTCAAACTGACACTGCAATGTAATATTTCTTTTGACTGGTGTGCTGGTCTCCATATGACAACTACAAAATAGGTACATTGGTACCTCTACTTACGAACGTCTCTTCGTATAAAATTTTCAAGTTACGAAACGCCTCAACAGGTAAATATTGCTTCTTGTTACAAAAGAAATTTCAAGATACAAAAGGTAAAAAGGTTTTTTTTTTTTTTTTGATGCATCGTAAATGGCAGGCTCTACTGAGTGCCATTCTGCCTGCATCATACCGAGATGCTTTTGGAATACTTTCGTTGCCCTTATTTGGCTGCCTGAGCATTGTTGTGCATGCTGATTGTCTAGCATGGGACATTTAAAGGCAAAATAGTGTCTTTGGCCACAATGGATGTTGGAAGGACGCAGGAAGATCCGACAATGCACAAAGTGCTTTTGAGTATTGGCATTATTTCACTATTAGTCTTGGTTATGAGTTTGCTCTTGTCATGTTGCGAGTAATTGTAGTTCAATTAAGAGTTTGTTTTTTTTGGGGGGGGGTTATGAATATCTCCTTATTATGACTTATTAGCATTATTATTTTGACTTTACTGCCAATAACATTATTGTATGGAAAATTACGACTGCTCTCATTTTACTTTTTTATTTTATTTCTTGTCATATTTTGGCTTATCCGTAGTCCTTTCCCAGTCTTAGATTTTTTTTTTTTTTTTTTGTGGGTGATATTGTGATTTTATTTGCATGATATAATGACTTAACCCCCCCCCCACCCCCACCCAAAAAAAATCTGGCAATCAGTGGAGTTTTTAACCTGTTGAGCATGATGTCATTCCTATGACTCTGCTCCAAGCTTGTCCACAGTTTTGGAAAATCGGTCACCCACAATAAATTAGGTTTTGCCCTTTGCTATATGCTATGTTAGTATTCCAGAAGTTGCTTCTTGCTTGGATTGCCTTGAAAGGGCAGGCATATTCGTTGTGTGCTGGTGTTTAAGATGAGGTAGTCGGCAAAAAAAACGGACAGGAACAACAATAATAGATTTCTTTTCAAGCATGGTGCATTGTCAGAGAGTGCGCTCATTTCGATCATGGGACACTTGTGGCAAGTTGAAGACAGTGAACCCCCATTTGTGGTACAGCATTTGCAAACTCAAATATTCATGTATATTTTTGTAAGTTAATCTCCGTTATTTGCAGAAAAACTTGACATATTTGTGATTTTCGGTAACATGGCAAAACAAAACATAAAACTAGGACGTTCAACTGAACTCTCTCCACTCAAATTTGGATATGCGCAACATCTTTCGCTTTATGATTAGAGGGCAAAATGTCTTGGGGATAAAAATGGATTTTTTTTTTCTTCAATATTTTAAGGAGGCATGAAAATAATTAGTTGTGGGCTCTGTGAGGATCAAAGTCTCATTTGGACAGGGGATTCTGGATAAGCGTAGTCTGAAGGCCGTCTCAAGGAGCCACTCTCGCTGTTGTGCACCCACGCTCATGACACCGTGATGGAATGTTACGACGTGGGCTTCGTGTGCTTTCACCCAAATGCGGACCACTGAGGCACATTAGTTAAACCTGCTTAACTAAATGACATCCAACACAAGAATTGGAGCCGAAATGCTGCCTGAGCAATGTATCTGACGTGGCTGACGAGCACGTACTGTAGTTTTTCAAGGTGGCTTCAGAAAAAAAAAAAGCAGCAAATTATGTAAATGGTTGTGAAATGGTGGGCAGGCACAAGACGGGGACACTTGAAGGCTTGAGTGGCTTACAAAAGGTTTTTCCCTGCCGTGGAGAAAAATAATGATGACATGATGGATGTCCAGATTCAGCTTGGTGAGAATGAACCCTCACAGGAAAAAGACACAGGAAAAATTACAGCTAAGGGCATGAGGAAAACGATGCTCCTTGAGGCCCCGATATTAATGATGTGTCACGAGAGTGTCTTCATAGATATGGTGACAGAGACTGAAACCATGACAGGTCCACTTCCACCAAAAGCAGTGCGTCTCAATTATTTCTTGGCCGGCAGCCAGGACCCGCGCGCCAAACGCCCCCCCCCCCCCCAACCCCCCCCCGCCTATGGAACAAAAAAAAAACATTTTATGCCCGCCCAACTCTCTGCGACAACTACAAATAGTATTACTTGTCTAAGAAATTGTTTTAAGTACACATCTGCATAATTTTGTATCTTTTTTTTTATACTAAAGATCACAAAAGAAAAGAAAGATGAACAACAGTGTTTTTTTGGTCGGGATCAGAAACAGATGTGAAGTGAATCAATTTGCCTGTACAGTAAATAAAGGCTTTATGATGGTGACATTTTCGACCATTGAGCAAATTATTCCAAATAAGTCAACCAAATCATATTCTGACCATTCTCACAAAATGGTTGATGAACGCACACAAGACAGTAGTTAGACTCAAACTCGTTTTTTTGTTAAAAAAAAAAAAAAGCACTTCTTATAGAAAT